TAAAGCCCACTGCCAACATTAAGACAGAAAAAAGAAAGAAAATAACAAACGATCAGTTCAGGTGTTTATAAAATATGGGAATCAGGAAATTGTCTATAAACCAAACTGAACGATTGTTGTTCTCTACTTAAAAAACACTTTATATTTTAAAATGGAAACATGTTCTATTTTTTATATTTATTTAAAAATTCAATGTATAACATGAATGCATAAACACCTCATCTTATTTCAGTTTTAAATTCTGCTTAAAGTAACAGATTATAATTAAAAATGCTTCCAAACCTTTACTGGTTGATCTGTTTTTTTTTTTTTTAATCTATGTAATGCGTCTTACTAATGGTATGCTGGCCTGACGCGGTATGCTGAGCTGACAGGACTTCGATGATGTCATCCTGTAATCAGCTCATTGTTCTGACTTGCTTTGCACTGACTGATGTTCTCTGATTATGTCAGGACGCCATCCGCATGATGATAACACAGGCCAGCAACCACCTGGAGGAGCTGCAGAAATCTCTGGCGCTGGCTAGAAGCTGACGTCCCCCCCCCCACACACCGCTGACCACTGTTCTGGACTTTTCTTCAGCAGTCAGGATCTGGGACAGCGATCAGGATCCTGATCCAACATGCTGTGTTTGATGTAAATAAAGGAACTCCATCACTCAGAGGTTATGCTGGTTTTTATAACAAAAATATTTTTTCTGACATCATCAGAGAGAAGAAATCAAAGGAAGAGAAATAAAAGAGCAGAAAGTAACACTGAAGCTGTTCTTCATGCAGCACATTCAGTACAAACACTGAGCTCAGCTTTTTTTTCACATGTTCAACAGAAGAGCCTCTGATGCGATGACATCACTGCCGCCGCTCAGCGCAGCTTCTATCTTTACTGACCATCAAACCACAGAAGGTTTGCTTTCATGTCCGCATTAAAAAATACAGTAAAAACTGCTGAACTCCCCTGATCAACTCTGTGCTACCAAGGGTTTTCATTTCTGATCGGTGGAAACGCTTCTTATTTCACACATTTAAACTGTAACCAAAACATCTGATGCCCTTTAATGACAGGATCTCACCTAAAATGAAGAGCTTTAACTTTTTTATCAAAACCAGGAATTTTTTACAAAAACAATACATCCACAGAGCATAAACTGATAAAATTTTTTTATACATTTTAATGGGTCTAAAAATGATAACGTGTGGTTAGGAGGCCAACTATGGAAGAAAAACAGTCTCATTGGAATCTGCCTATTTGTTTACACTGAATTTTAGGCCACATTTACACATAGAAACAAACAGCGCTCCAATAGAAAATTTAAGCGCCATAAAAACTATAAGCATCAGAAGCTCACATGACGTCAAGGATTTTCATAAAGTGACGTTTAAGAAGCTAAAAGGCAGTTTATCCCTGCTGACATTGCAGCACCGTTATCAGAAATCTCCACTTTGGACAGAGGGTGTAGAAATAATGGTTTTCTGTGATAAAAAATTGGGTTTTGGTGAAAACGAGAGACCAAACCGCAGGGAAATATCTGCATTAACTTTTTAAAAATGTTTCCTATTGACCCTAATCCTCCAGATTCCAATGGGACTGCTTTTCTTCCTTTGCCAACATGGATTCTTCCCCAATAAAATCATCCTGTCAGATGCAGCTCAGCTGTTACCAGATCCAAGGCGTTCCGTGATGAACGGGAGACATTTTCATCTCAGCATCACGTTTCTATAGATTCAAGCCAAAGCTATAGATTGGGAACCAAAGTGACGGCGTTGTTTAAGGACGCCGCTGTAACGTAGATCAGATCAGGCAGAGTGCTGAAGCATCTGAGGCTGGAAGGAGTATCAGAAATAAATCAGGATTCCCTTTTCTAAACGATCTAATTTCCATCCTTTCTTCTATCTACTAATGAACTCCATCATAAATAATAGAACAGCAGTACCTTCATGTTTCCTTTCTATCGTCTAACAGGGAGCAGGTTTAACCCTTTATACGGCAAGCTAGCATTTTTGATCACTTACAGTGAGGTCTAGAAGCACTAGATCTATATCCAGCCATTCAGCAAAGATACAGCTGTACGGCTCTACATCTTATTTTGGCATTTGAAAAATTAGATGAGCCCTTCATATATTACTACTGGAAATTAAGTTGGGAAAAAATGTTAAGTCAAGAAAAAAAAAAGGTAAAAAGTAAAGTTAAAAAGTTAATAAGCCTAGTTAACAATTATATTTCGGTTTATAAACTAAAATATGGACAGGTCCTCCTCAAAATAGCATATTGTGATAAAGTTCATTATTTTCCAGAATGTAATGATAAAACCTGAACATTCACATATTTTAGATTCATTGCACACTAACTGAAATAGTTCAGGTCTTTTATTGTCTTAATATGAATGATTTTGGCATCCAGCTCATGAAAACACAAAATTCTTATCTAAAAAAATTAGCATATTTCATCCGACCAATAAAAGTAAAGGTAGAACCCTTTTCTTTTATTGGTACAAAAAAGGTCAACCTTCAAATGATTATGTTCAGTTATGAAACCAATACTTGGTGGTGAATCCTTTAGCAGAAATGACTGTTTCAATGCGCCGTGGCATGGAGGCTATCAGCCTGTGGCTCTGCTGAGGTGTCATGGAGGCCCAGGATGCTTCCATAGCGTTTAGCCTTTAGCTCATCCACAGTGTTGGGTCTTGCCTCTCTCAACTTTCTCTTCACAATATCCCACAGATTCTCTATGGGGTTCAGGCCAATAGAGCCCAGTGAAACCATGTCAGTAAACCAGTGGTATTGGCTCTGTGAGCAGCTGCCAGGTGGTGCTGAAAAATTAAATCTTCATCTCCATAAAGCTTTACAGCAGATGGTAGCAGGAAGTGCTCCAAAATCTCCTGATAACTGCATTGACCCTGGCCTTGATCAAACCCAGTGGACCAACACCAGCAGCTGACATGGGGCCCCAGACCATCACTGACTGTGGGGACTTGGCACTGGACTTCTGGGATTTTGGCATTTCCTTCTCCCCAGTCTCCCTCCAGACTCTGGCACCTTGATTTCCAAATGACCTGCAGAACTGAGCAACAGTCCAGAGCTGCTTCTCTGTAGCCCAGGTCAGGCGCCTCTGCTGCTGTTTCTGGTTCATAAGTGGCTGACCTGGGGAATGCAGCACCTGTAGCCCATTTCCTGCACACGCCTGTTCACAGTGGGTCTGGATGTTTCTACTCCAGACTCAGTCCACTGCTTCTGCAGGTCCCCCAAGGTCTGGAATCGGCCCTTCTCCACAATCTTCCTCAGGGTCCAGTCTCCTCTTCTCGCTGTGCAGCGTTTTCTGCCACACTTTTTCCTTCCCACTGAGGTGCCTTGATGCAGCAGCACTCTGGGAACAGCCTATTGGTTCAGAAATATCTTTATATCTGTCATAGCCTCTTGCTTGAGGGTATCAGTGATGGCCTTCTGGACAGCAGTCAGGTCGGCAGTCTGACCCATCATTAGGGTTCTGAGTGATGAACCAGGCTGGGAGTTTTAAAGGCCTCAGGAATCCTCTGCAGGTGTTTAGAGTTAATTTGTTGATTCAGATGATTATGTGCATTGCATGTTTAGAGACCTCATAAGCTGGATGCCAGAATCATCCGTATTAAGACAATAAAAGACCTGAAATATTTCAGTTAGTGTGCAATGAATCTAAACTATATGAATGTTCAAGTTCTATGGAAAATAATTAACTTTATCTCAATATGCTAATATTTTGAGAAGGACCTGTAAGATCCAGTATCATCATTAATGCCTCTAAGGTTATAATGGAGCAAAAAAAATGTGTTTCTTTCACTCTGAGAGTGATTTTCATGAATTTCTTATTGAAGCACTTTTGTTATTTTTTTAAATATATATTTGGGCAAGTTTGCATTTCGTATTATTACTTTGAAATTAATTTCTGCCATGTAAATATCCATATTTCTTTAATGTTACAAAGGTAATAAGGTATTTTCCTGGATTCCAATAACACTCCAATTTCAAAGTATTTCACTGAGTGCCCTATAAAGGGTTAAACACAAATGTTCCCTCATCATCATCAGACGCGTTACCATCACGGCTGTTTCCAGCTCCTCCTCATCCTCTGTTATAAAGACCTCATAGCTTATCGGTTGGACGCAGCAGGCAGACAGACTTCTAACAGCAGCTATTTTCATGAAGAACTGAAGGTTTTCCCTACAGCAGCACAGAAGGAAAGACGGCCTGAGAGGCTTGGAAGCGGTGCAGCGTTAGCAGGCGTCGTGCCGACTCATCCTCAGCGCTCGAAGCTCATCTTCCAGATGTGCGATCCTCTGGATCAGAGCAGCTTTGTCTGCCTGCGCCCTCTGGTCGGCCTGCCAGCGCGCCTCCTGCACCTTCCTCTCATACCAGCGCTCCATCTGGACGGACACCGCCTCGAAGAAGTACTGGGTCACCTCCACGGCGTGCATTTTGTCCCTCTCCTGATCGAAGGACGGCTCACTGGGCTGCTCTCCAGACTCTGCCTCAGTCCTGATCCCTGCGGCTCCTCTGGACCCAGTCCTGCCATGGGATCGCCTCTCATGGTGCCTGACTCTGTCACGGCGCCCTGCGGCCGGAGAAAGGCTGCTGGCTCTATGCCTCTGTCGCTTAGTGTCCACCAGCTCAACTTTCTTCCTCTGAGTGTCGGGAGAGACCACAGGGCGCTCCTTTGGCCGGACCACCTGGACAGACGACTGAGCTGCTGCTGCTGCCGCCTCCGTCTTCTGATCCTTCTCACCATCTGTTAGGAGTTCAACAGAACTGGTTTAGTGAGCAGCAGAAATCCTTCACAGTGAATCAGTGTGAGCAGCAAGACAGCTGGTCATCATTGGTGCCCTTTAATTCAGTTTATTTCTATAGCACTAATTCACATCATGTCATCTCAAAGCTCTTTCCAGTTCACCAGATCATCCAGTCAGATTGATTCAAAGTTTAATTTGAGCAGGTAAATAAGATGATGCTTGAAATGGAGACGACACCCAAGATGTGGGCTGCAGACACCACTGTGTACCAATAACTATAGAGGACAGAGATCACCAGCACCAGGGGGGCATCAGGGGCCACATGAGGCACCAGGGGGCCCACAGGGGCCACATGAGGCACCCACAAGCCTTTTTTATTATACACTGCACAAACGGATCTAAAAGAAGTAAAATTGTGATTAAAAAAAGAGCATTTTCTCTTCATATGAGCAGGCAAAGAAGTTGATCCACAAATGGAGTCAGATTTCTGGCTCCTAAACTTAGAAAATTAGATATTATACCATTGAAATAAGATGGAGTTGCTTTTTAGTTTAAATTTTTATTTTATTTCATTGTCAAATTTTACTAAACTACTCAAAACAAAGAAAAGTAAACTTATATTTCATTTTTGCCTTGTTTTATTGTCCTTTGCTTTTGATCTGGACTACATCTGTATTTATACAGATAAAAAAACAACAATAAATCTTTTTATTAACATTAAGTTTTAAGTAAAGGACTCTGAATTAGCCTGGGTGCCAGTCCGAACTTAGTCCCGCCCACAAGGTTTGAGTTCGGGGAAGTTCGGTCTGGCATTGCTCCATAGTAGCGCGAGTATTAAAGCCCACTGTCAGGCGATCCAATCAAATTGTCAGGGCGGGCTTTATACGATGATGGACAGATGATCAACAGTAACGTAATCAACCACGTGACCAAAGCGCGCTTGGGTGACAACAACAATGGCTGCCGCTGGAGAGTTTGGGTGAGTAGATTCTGCTATTAGGTCTGTTCTAGAAGATATCGACAGCAAATTAATTTTAAAAGAGGAACAGAGAAACGCGATCAAGACTCATCATCTTATTCTAGGCGTGAAACTGCACGCTTTGATTTTTGTGGACAACAACTATGCCTCGCTTAACATACGTCACGCACTCCGTTGCTCTTATTGGTTGTACGTCTAT